TTTTTTTTTTATTATTTTAAGGGGATTTTATGATACTAAATTATATTTATATTGTTATGATACATTTATTACCTGTTGACCATTTTTGAGCACAAATCTAAAAATTAAATATCTAACTTAAACTGTCGCAAATCTTGAATGCTTCGGAGCACAAACTTACGTTTGTTTTTAGAGAAGACACTTGGTAGATTATTGCTGAAGTGAAAAGTTTAAAAAGTGAAAAAAAAAAACTTTATGAAAAATGCACAAAAATACTATTTTTTACCCTAAAACGGAGTGAAAAACCAAAGCCATAAACCTAAAGTTTTCTTCCAGATTTGAGGTTGATCTCAAAAAAAAAAAAAAAGAGCTTTCAGTTATGGCACTTTTCCACTGCATGGTAAGGCTCACTTTTGGGGTTTTTTTAAGTTTTCTTCCAGATTTGAGGTTGATCTCAAAAAAAAAAAAAAGAGCTTTCAGTTATGGCACTTTTCCACTGCCTGGTAAGGCTCACTTTTGGGTTTTTTTCCCACTGTGTACAGTACCTAGTGCCACTTGTTTTAGTACCACCTTGAATTAAGGTTCCAAGCGAGCCGTACTGATACTAAAATGTGACGTGTGAACACTGCAGATCGGAGAGAATTGTCACTACCAGCGTCATTGGATTTGCGACAAGACACCAAACCTGCTAGATTTAAATAGCAACAGCCACCGCAGTATCATTTGTTCGCACTACTTTTTTAAACTGCTTTAAACAACCGTCGCACGCAACTTGAAAAAAGGAATGGCTGTATTGTGGTCAGTAGACGAGGTGGCGGCGCGACTATAACGATCAGTCTATAGTCCCACCCACTTTAAAGTGGTACTAATGTGCAGTGGAAAAGCAAACCGAGCCGAGTCGTACCACACAGTGGATAAGTGCCATTAGATTTTGTTTTGGTGCAGTACCAAACATTTCCACTAGATGAAATTCACTTCCCATTAATTTCCCATGTGTCATTTTTTACTTTTTTTTTCTGGACCATTTAACCTTTTCAAATCATGTCCATACTTTTTTTGCATTGTGCCAAAACCTTTACCAAGTTTCATGTCATTCTGATTAATTACGAAATTCTTAAATATTTTTTGGTCAAAAACGACCAAACAGTGCCACAGTGTTAAAGGTTTTCAGTTTAGTCAGTGCAATTTTGGTGAATCCCATTAGATTCAGTTTGGAGCACAACATAACAATCATACCCAGAATTTGAACATAATACGGTTATCATCAATAACACTATACTGGGACAGCCCTTCATTTCAGTGCATTATGAGCATGAGTGTGACCTGCTGAAACTGTGGAGAGGTCAGTGTGTTCTGGATCTCTTCTGCGCTCTGCGGGAGCGATTCTCCTGACGGCAGGTATGGCAGCAGTCTCTGCTGCACTTCAGAGTTAGCCAGAATAGGAGCCATGACATCAGGGGTCAACACACTCGCCAAGTCCACTGCAGAGGAGCAATGGACAACGTATTAAAGGATGGGAAAAGTGGGTGAAAATCGCATCAGAGGTACATCAGTTGTCAGTCTCTCACCTCCCGGCCCCTCTGCAGCCATGGCAGGCACGTTCATGGTGGCCAGGATGCTCTGGAGGTCACTCAGCTGGATGGGCTGCGTGCTGGAGGGGGGTCCCGCAGGCATGGAGGGAGTCTGGGCAGCAGGGGTGGTGGGGGTCACCGTGGGCGAGCTGGTGGAGGTAGCAGCAGGGGTTACAGGTGTGGTGGGTGCCTGGGTGGAGCTGAGGCGGGCGGCCGATCCAGAGGAAGGAGTGGCTGCTGCTGATTGGCTGCGGGAGCTGTGTGTACAGGAGAGGGATAATAAATAAAATATGTTATTATATTAAGATGTGTGAACGCAACACCAAAAATAAGCATAGAGAAATCAAAAGACGTACCTCGAGGTGGAGCTGCTGGTAGCAGGACCTCCACTGCCCAACAGACCGGCCTCTAATTAAGAGATAAAATGCAGCTGCAAATGTTTTACGAAATACACATAATAATATATGTTCCAATACAACATGCAGCTTTTTATATTTCACTACCAAATTATATGTAATATGCATGCATTAACATGCATTAAGTTGCCAGTTCCTGAACCTAATGAATGATGTGATATGCTTAGTGGATTTAGTGAGAGCTTTAGCATTTTTCAGACCTTGGACAGTCCCCGTGCAGTTTGAGCTTGAAAATGTTTTAAAATAAAAATTATTATTAATGCAAGTAAATAAATAAATAAATGCGCACCTTAAATACCTTCAAATATTTATCCAGTTAAATAGAGTGACAAATGAAAAAGAGTGACTAAGATTTTTGGTATCTAACCATCATAGCTGCTAAATGTATTCAGCAAACACAGATGTTTTTTTTGTTGTTGGCTGTGATAAGTCTATTCCACTGCATTTGAGAAATCTATTTTGACATTTCTGATTTTTTTGGCCCGTCTGTTGCTATGGTTATCACTATATCAATCATCACAATTTTAGTAATGATTCACAATCATATTAGTGGACTCACTCCCAAAGCTTTTAATCAAACTGCTAAGGAATTCTATATAGAAAGCAAGCAAGAGCGCTCTCTTTATAAATCACAGAAGCTGTCAATCACTTCAGTTCAGCATGAGCTCATACTCTACACTCCTGCAGCTGACTACACTGCACCTCTCTACCTCATATCTTCACTATTTATTAGTTCAAATCAAAGGACCCGCAAGTGTAGAACTCAGTCAGTAGCTGGGTTTCCATCCAAAGTTGCACATTTAACTTGTGCACAAAATTGGAATATCACATAAAACATTTGCGAATAAGCACCGTTTCCATCTAACGAGTCAAAGAGAACTAAATCGTCACTTCCTGATAAACTGGCACTACATATCACTAAGAAATGTATGAGAAGCCACCGAATATAATAATTTTCATATATAATAAATGACTTGCGTCACAAGCGAGCAGACGAAACACAATAAATGCGGTCATTGCTTTTGCAGTTGTGTTCTGGGAGGCAATTATACAGAAATACTTTGATGACAGACTTTGCTTGGGCATTTTAGAATGACCTTAACAATATTTCAGATGCTGTGCAACGAGATCGGTCCGCTGGTTAGTCAGGTTATGCGCAAAGTCACATGACTTTTTTTTGATGCGCATGGAGGAATTTATTCGCAAAATGTGTTTCCATCTCCCATTAACCATTTTTCACACAAGTCAAAAACCACCTCAAGCGAGCGTAAAATTTTTTGTGAATTAAGGGAATTTTTTTCTCTCTATATTTGGCGTTTCCATCACTCGTTTCTGATGCGATACTTCAAAATACGCATAAAAGCAGAGTGATGGAAACATAGCTAGTAAACGCATTCAGCATTCTGAGCAGATTGATTAACCTAAACACCTTTGATTGGCTATGATGCGGAACACTTCACAAATATTTTGTAAATAGAAATATTTCCCTTTGAAAATAGAAACCCAGAGTATGTACACCATATTTACTGGTAGTGCAGAAAGGCCCCAAACCTAGTTTCACAAACTAATTGGAGATGTGAGAATCACAAAAAATGTATGGATACAAAACAGACATTTTTATCTGAAAAGTGTCAAGTATGCATCCCTGACTCATGTATAAAAGCTCTCAAGTGGTCAAGACTGCACATGTGGGTATTGGGTCAGGCCCAAAGACGTTCTCCATCTATGGCAACCATATCACCCTGTAGCCCAAGACTGGTTACCCACTGAAGCTAAGCAGGGCTGAGCCTGGTCAGTACCTGGATGGGAGACCTCCTGGGAAAACTAGATTGCTGCTGGAAGAGGTGTTAGTGTGGCCAGCAGGGTGTGGTCTGTGTGGGTCCTAACACCCCAATATAGTGACGGGGACACTATACTGTCAACAAGCACCGTCCTTCAGATGAAACGTTAAACCGAGGTCCTGACTCTCTGTGGTCATTAAAAAAATCCCAGGATGTCTTTCGAAAAGACTAGAGGTGTGACCTTGGCATCCTGGCCAAATTTGCCCATTGGCCTCTGACCATCATGGCCTCCTAACCATCCCCATATCTGCTGAGTGGCTTCATCACTCTGTCTCCTCTCCACCAGTAAGCTGGTGTGTGTGGTGGGCGTTCTGGCGCACTATGGCTGCCGTCGCATCATCCAGGTGGATGCTGCACACTGGTGGTGGATGAGGAGATACCCCCTGACAATGTAAAGCGCTTTGAGTGCCTAGAAAAGCGCTATATAATGGTGCTTTTCCACTGCGTGGTACAACTCGGCTCGGTTTGCGTTTCCACTGCAGTTCAGTACCGCTTTAGAGTGGGCGGGATTATTCACATGTCGTTATAGTTGCGCCGCCTCTACTACCACGACTGCTAAAAAACGTTTTCATTCCGCGTCGCCCCATCAAGCTCTCGCTGGATCCGCTCCTCTGCTATCAACCAGAGGAACGTCTGTTCTTCCTCAACAGGGGGAACAGCCACTTTTTGGTTGTTAAAAAAGGTGCGCTCGTTCAAAACAGTTGCGTTCGATCCTTCGCTGGCTGTGCTGATTTAAATCTAGCGCTTCTTTTGTGTTTGTGATGCAAAGTTCAGTGATGCAGGTAGTGACGATTCTCTCTGGCCAATCCGTGATCAGCAGAGTTTACTCGTCCCGTTTTGGTAACAGTACGGTTCGCTTGGAACCCCAACCAAGGTGGTACTAAAAAAAAGTACCAGGTATCAGGTACTGTACCCAGTGGAAAACCCCCCCAAAAGTGAACCGTACCAAGCCGTACCGTGCCGTACCGTGCAGTGGAAAAGCACCACAAGTGTAATGAATTATTATTATTATTATCTTCTATCACTCACCACCAAGAGCAGAGAGTTCATGGCTACCACCTCCTCCACTGCCCAGAGCCCCTGGAATGGGGGGGTTGTTCAGGTATTCGTTGACTTTGCGACAGTACTCCTCATCTTTATCTGTTTTCGGCTCCTTTAGAGAGATGCGAGAGATGGAACAGCAAGCACAAACGTGACGACAGCTGATCGGGTATCACAGTCCCCTCCGAGTGCATCATTTCATTATATTCTGACAAAGCAAATCTGAAATGCTGCGTCGCAAAAAACGCTACAATCTTTTACTCACCTGCATCCAAAAGAACAGCCTTTTAGAGCCGGCCTTGAATTTCAGCACATACACGCGTCCTGTAGTGCACTGGTTCACCCGCTTAAACTCGCAGTCATCCGGGAATATTATCAGATCCTGAAACACAAAATCAAGACTTCGATATCCATATAAAACATCACCGGTTGCATGCTAAACAGTAAACAGCCCTCACATCCTCCACATTTCCAGAGGTCCTGTCCTTCCAGCAGAAGTGGATGAGCGAGTCGTCCGTCTGCTGGATGTAGACGGTGCCTTTGCGCTTGTCCGGGGTCACTGTGCTGCTCTTCAGGGTCATTTTACCGGCCCTGAACTCAACCAGATATTTACTGGACGAGCTGCGGGAGCCAGACGCCAGGCTGGGGAACAGAGCTCCAGATGACATCCTCACTGCTGGACACACAATACAAACAGTTAAAACACACAGCATCATTTTAAGCCATTTCTGAATTCATAAAAAAGCAGGTTTTATCAGAGCTCAGTGCTCATCTTCAGCACATAGCTGATAAACAACATGAAGCTTAAAGATGTGAGCACAGTTACTCAGCAAGATTTATCAGCACTCCAGCTGGCTTCAAAAGACAGCAGCTGGCTTGTATTTGTACAAATATATTATTTTACATATTAGCTTAATATATACTATAGTACGACAATTACCACAGTTTCACCCCCAGGCTGAAAATGTAATCATATTTTCATTGTTTGGTTCACTCAATTAGCATTAGCTGCCATTTAAACACCTCACGCTCAACATGACTGCGCATTTTGTTTCCGATGCATATTTAAACAGATCTCGCCGCTATAAATCCGATAATAACATATTGTAACAAAAGCACATCATACCGGTGGAGAAGTCTGGTCTTTCGTGGGGTTTCCAGCAGCAGATATGGGTCTTTAAGGGACACTCGCTGAAGAGTTGCAGACAGACTGGCGAAGAGTGGCACGAGACTTCCTGTATCCTGGTAGCCGCGTTCCTATTGGTCACGTTCGTGCGTAAGGCTGTATTTGATTGGCTGAATGACATGTCATTCTTTGCATGCAGCAACTGCTGTGTCATTGAGTGCAGACAGAGCCGCGCTCTTTTCATGCACTCACCTAATGATTAGTGCAATGTCATATTTTCATTGAACAATCTTTAAGGAAACGGTTTCTACCGTTTGTAGCACTTTCACATGAGGTTATAATGTTGGTCAAGTTTATTTGCACAAAAACGCAGTATGATTGAGTTTTCACGATTGAGAACAAAATGTACAAATTTCTCAAGCACAAATATGAACTCCACGGCGAATAAAAAAAAAATAGATTCTCTTTTGTCAAAATCAAACTTAAGCCTCATTCGCATCATGACACAAAACCTAACAAAAACTAATTTACTCCACTGCCTAGACCAATTAAAAACCATTACAAAAGCTTCTTGTATATTGAGTTCCAGTTAGTGTGTACAAAACCACATGAGTGCAATACATTTATACCATGCTTTACATTCAGCATTGCCATCGAAATAAAACACCTTTTTAATCGCACATCAATAGCAACATTCAGCCTAATACAATATAAAACATTATAAACCACAAAGACTTTTTCACAACACTATTGATATCCAGCTAGTAGTGCAGAATTCCTGCTTTTAAAGGAATGAAACGGAGAGGTTATCAATGCAATTTATTTTATTCCAAAAGAATCCACGTTCAAACTAAAATTTCAATTAGTAGAATTGATTCTCACCAGAATGGCATCCCCTTTAACTCCGTTCAAAAATGAAGTATAACACTCATCTCACAGAGAAAATACCTTACGACACCATGATCAAAAAGAAAATTCAATACTATAAACATAAAGCATTGCACAAAATAAGGAGCGATGTGCTTATGATTGCTAGAAATCTATGTGCAGCATCTTGGAGCATACAGACATTCGTAGATTGAAAATATGACATCCAGTGAAGAGGAACACTTAGTCATTCCACTTACACAATAAACTGACACAAAGCCGCATAAAATAAAATCTAGTTTAATTGTGGAATATTAGTTTTATAACGCTATTTTTCAAATAATCAAAATGTACAAAATGAAGGAAAAGATACAATACAGGATGCAAAACAAGTAGTGTACTGAATGTGATGTGTGTGTCTAACAGATGCTGAATCGATTTTGACATTCTTGTTGATGTTTAGTACTTAGAAAGATGGTTAGAAAATTAAATAAAATGTCTAACATATTCAAATAAATCTTAAAACACCTTTAAGTGGGAAACAAACAGCTCAAGATGAAGTACTAGTGACTCACAGATGTGTTCAAAATCAGGCACTGTGGGAAACCAAACACGTTTGTGTACTTGAGAAGAGCAACAATGATTGCATCGGTGTGCTTCAAACCCACTCATCTGACCTGTACGCTTCAGATCATCTCTACATGAAAAGAATCGCTTTTATGATGAATGAGTATATGATTGGTTGTCAAATACTTTTCATGGCATCTACAGGCAGGAAATATTCTCTCAAATATTTACGCTTACATAAGCTGCCATTCTGTACGTTCATTAAGACTGAAATATTATGTGGGGTTTGAGCAGTTTGATGGGTTGCATAGATTTTGTCCCGTTTCTCAAATACACAGTGTACATGTCTATGTTTGAGAACGGTGATAACAGATGCAAATGCTGATGGATAAAACAACCCAAGACGCCCTACTTTTCATAAAACAAATTCAATGGATAGTGCTTGAGGAACAATTTAGTGTGACACCAATACATTATAACACCTGTGAAATATGAAAATGTGCATTTACAGTATGTCAACAAAGCCTTATTAAACAACAGATTAATGTCGGTACAATCAGCCTATTTTACATCCCATGAGTCTCTGCGGAAACCACGAAGTGAAAGGAAAAAAGAAAAACAGCTTTGAGGCCATTTTTAAAATGCATGATGAGGCTATTTTACGTAAAGCTTAATCTGAAAATCCAAACGGCAAAATATTGTACCATTTAAAACAAACGCTATGGCTTTTTACATTAACTGCCACAAGCGCACACACATCTACACGCACCCACAGTTCATTATTAACATTCATCATCATTCACGAAACATTACGTCGTTATTTCATTAATGCTTGATCACCTTCACGCTCAAACATCTGGAATTAGTTTTCATATGTTAAACGCCTACTGTACATGGAAAACGGCCAGAGCACTTCAGAGTCACATTTTATTGGTGATATAACTACATCTTTATCAAGCTCCAGCATCACTGACAGTGAACAAACTGGAGCTTGATGAGGGGTTTGTACGTTCAAAGGCAGAAAAAGGCAAACTGGTTCTTCTACTGCTGTTTTGACGCTTTCCTCCATTGATAAAACCCAAAGGGCTGATGGGACGTGAGAGAAGATGCTTCCAAAGGACAAAAGCACAATCATAAACGCAAGTGCTGAAGACGGAGGCAGCTCAATATTAATGAGAGCATAAGCGCTATCATTTTCGGTTGGATACGATATGGTGCATTGTGTAGAGGATTGGTGTAGACGGGGAGGGAGAGAGAGAGAGAGAGAGAGAGAGAGAGGGAGGAAGGAGGTGACAAAACCTCTGCCCTTTGAACTTGCACCTCTTCATCAGTAGATATCAGGACAGTCTGTGTATTTCCTATCAAAGTAGCCACCAGTGTACAGCCAGTCCTGTGATCCTGTGTACGGATTTGTGCCTAACTGAAACCACCTAAAAACAGTAGGAGAGGTTAAAAATATTGCATAAATAAAGCACACACACACACACAAAGCAAGCAGTAAAAACAGTGCAAAACTAACCTAGTCGACCACTCTTCATCATCTTTGGCCCGCTCTTTACGAGCTGCTCTCTGCTTCTCTTCCAGTCTCTCCTTTTCACTGCTAGCTTCATCTGCACAAAGAAAGTCAATGAAATCAAATGTTAGTCTTTAGCATGTATGAACAGCAGGGAGCGCTGTAGGGCTGCCGTTCATTACCAATGTTGCCGTTCTCCATGGCTCTGATGTCAGGCCGCAGGCGGCAGTCTGTTGGTGCCAGCACTCCTTCCATGCCAGGCTCCAGCTCATTCAGCGTCATGGCAAAATTAGTGAAGTTATACATCTAGAAGTGAATAGAAGGGGTTTAAAATCAGGTAGACCACCATTACTACACTACCGTTTAAGAGATTGGTGTCAGCAAAACTTTTGGTCTGTAAGAAATTAATACTTTTATACCGTAAGGATGTGTTAAATTGATCAAAAGCAACAGAAAAGATATTCATAATGTCACAGAAGATTTTCATTTTAAATAATTGCTGTTCTTTTGAACGTTCTATTCAAAGAATCCTGAAAAAAACATGCATCACAGTTTCAACATTGATAAATGTTTCTTAAGCAAATCAGCATATTAGAATGATTTCTGAAGGGCCATGTGATACTGAAGACTGGAGTAATAATGCTGAAAATTCAGCTTTACATCACAGGAATAAATTACACTTTAAATTCATTCAAACAGAAACATTTATTTTAAATTAAAATATTATTTCACAGTTCTTACAGTAAAACTTTTGATCAAAGAACCCAGTCTTAGTGAGCATTAGAGACATTAAAAAAATGATGAAAAATGATCACACCAACCCCAAACTTTTGAACGGTAATGCATTTCATCTTTAAGAAATCATCAGTTTGTTTACGAGTTTGTTTTGTGCATTCAGGTTACTGCACATTAACATAACAGTGATCACAGTGTGTACCTCTGCTGAATGAGGTGGTCTCGATGATATTCTCCATAATAATGTGCTACCAGGAATCACGGCCACAGTCTCCTGTACATCAGGCATTTCATCTGCATCCTCGTTGATGGCTTCTGGCTCCTCCTTTTGGTGAAAGTACATAGTTTAAACACTCAGACAGAACAATAACATTCCCTAAATGCTTTAATTTTTATTATTCACACAATACCCAGTATTCAGAAAAAGCATAAACGCAAGACAAGATATCAAATCAAGTGGCATCTCCAGAATATCTATTGTTATACCATTTAAAATGTTCTTTTTGAGAAAGGTTTGGCTTGAAAAGTGAGCTTGGGATTTCTTTAAAACAAATGTCACTTGGTTACTTAGTTTCTTGTGCAAAACACAAAAGATGATATTTTGAAAAATGTTCGTAACCAAAAAGTTTGGGTGGCCATTCACTTCTATCCTGTGAACAAATACACTGAGACATTTCTCAAAATATCTTCTTTTATGTTCCACAGAAGATGAATTGTCAATTAAGCTCCCACACCGAGAGACGTGACGTCTGTTAAATATAGCAATACACTGGGTGTGTTGTCATGTAATGGGACACGTGTTAAAATAAACAAATGAACTGACAAAAGCCTGAACAGAGGCAAAGGACTAAGGCATGATGAGTATTTTAACACACCTGCTCTCTCTACACCTACACACAGCTCTTCTGTACATACAGAAGCACATATTTAAACCACACACCAATACAAACAGTTCAATAACCCTAAAACAACACTCCATTATTCTGTGCATGAATCACAACAGACAGTCTAAGATGTCTACACCTCTTAATGATACTAGTCTACATCTTTCTCTTTGTTAGCTTAACATGAACACACAGAGAGCTTTGCTTTAGTTTTAAAAAGATAAAGAGCTCAGTTAATGGAAGCATTAGCAGTCAGGGAAAGAAGCAGCATGAGTGGTCAACTATTAGCTTTGCTATCATCTTTCACACCTGTTTCTGTTTTCGAGTGTCCGTCGTTCCCTTCTTCTCGAGCTTCCGATGGGCCTCGTACAGCTGCGGGTCGATGCTCCACATACACTCTGTCCATTTCCCATAGATCACACAGCACTTCTTCTTACTGCACGTGACACACAGAGGAAAGAACAGAAAACATGTATTAATTCAATAAAGAAAAATAAAGAAACAGGAATGTCTCTTAAATCCATTGAAACGTTGGCATGCTAGTTATTAGCTAGCAAGCTTA